CCTGGTCGTATAAGATCAGCAGCTCAGTCAACGACTACTATACTGCCCTCAGTTCGCCTGTCTACTGGCCTAGCCTTGGGGGTGGATCCATTAAACAAAACAGACAGGTCCCGTCTCTCACTGTCGATAGAGTAGTCTCGTCAAGTCACAATTTTAATTGAAAGTTTCTGCACTACCCGTTTTGGTTCTGCGCATAGAACGGAGCTCCGCGCAGCCAACGCTACGGTCCCAGGTTCTAGTCTAGTGAAGGGCCTTTGGTTGGGTTGCGGTCCCTTTCGAGTGTGTGCTGGACGCGACGGCAGCTGAATTGATGTTTCCCTCGCATCCGATGTTTCTACTTCTCTTTTTCCCTTCGCATTCCTTAAAGTAAAAAAATACAATAAAATATTTTTTTAGCCCTAACCGGTTTGGCTCAGTGGATAGAGCGTCCACCTGCGGACTCAAGGGTCCAAGGTTCGATTCCGGTCAAGGGCATGTACCTGGGTTGCGGGCACATCCCCAGTGGGGAGTGTGCAGGAGGCAGCTGATCGATGTTTCTCTCTCATCGATGTTTCTAACTCTCTATCTCTCTCCCTTCCTCTCTGTAAAAAATCAACAAAATATATTTTAAAAAAATAAAATATATATATTTTTTTAAAAATTTTAAAAAAAAAGATCCTTTCAGATGGCAATTAGTACTAGGATGGAGAATCTCATGGTGCAATACTAGTAAGAGAATGACCTGGGGGGGGGGCATTACCTAGATTGGGTGGTCAGCCTCTTTTTGGAGAGGTGATAATTGCACTGAGGCCTGGCTATTCTGAATTTCACTTTCTAAATCTGTGCAATGGAGATAAGGACACAACTCATGAGATTCTTCGAAAGCTTAAATGAGGCCATGCTCGTAAAAGACTATCACAGTCCTGATACATACATTTAACACACGGTACTGATGTAATATTACATGTAATTTTGTGAGTTAATAATGAAATTAAAGAACCCAGAACTCTAGGGGTTGTCATTGCTGATAGGTTTGGAAACTTGACTTTTCCAGAGACCATTAATGGACTTCACAGACTTGTCCAGGCTGCCCCTGTCTCTCCAAGACGCACCCTCCATTCCTGGGCAACCAGAGGAAATCCAGCTGCTTAGTGAGGAGGCAACACCCAAATCCAGCAGCAACCCGAGCTGGTGCCAGTGCGGAAATTGCCTCCCATCCCAACTCCCTGGGAGTCACCAATGCCTGGAGGAGCTGTGCTGTCGGAAAAAGCCAGGTGCCTGCATCACGACCTCAGAGCCATTCAAGAAGCTCATCCTGTCCAGACGTGCCCTGCAGTTCCTCCTGCTCTACCAGGAGCCCTTGCTGAAGTTGGATGCGGATGCCACCAACAACCAGCTGCGGCACTGCGCCTACAGGTGCTATGCCACCTGGCGCTTCGGCTCCAAGGACCTGGCTGACTTTGCGATCCTGCCCAGCTGTTGCCGCTGGAGAATCCGGAAAGAGTTTCCCAAGAGTGAAGGCCAGTACAGTGGCTTCAAGAGTCCTTACTGATGGAACAGAGCAGTCATAGGCAAATTACTTCTGCTTGCACCCCGAGCTTCAGCAGCCAAGATCTGTGGCCAGATTTCCTCCGCTGCCACTCTGCATGTGTCAGAGAGCAGAGAGACCCGGGTAAACAAACAAACCAGCCAGAATCCCTCAACATGGACTGAGAGTCGAGAGATTCAGACGTCTGTCTCAATTTTGCCCCTGGGAAGCTGTGTGATCTAAGCCCTTTAACCTCTGTACCTCAATTGCCTTACGATTCAACCTATTCTCTTACAGAGATATTGGGAGGAAAATTGAGACAGTGTATACAAGCTTTCTTGTTAATGCACAGAGAGCTATATGAATACAAAGCAACTCATTATGAGGTCAGACTAGGATAATGTCCAACTATGAACAAACTCTTTGGGTCTTGAGTCCTGGTTGGAGAACGTGAAGGATTCAAAGTGGCTACAAATTCCTTGGCCTTTGTCTCTCAGGACCTGAAGGTTATGTCTCCTCCCCTTGCGCAGCTCTGATTGCTTATCCAATAGTGGAAGTGATGCTGGGTCAGTTTCAAGGTCTTGGTCTTAAGAGGCTGGCAACTTCCACTCCCTGTCCCTTGACACTTGCTGTGCAGGAAGCCAGACCTCAGGTAAAAGTCTGACTATCCTGAGACAGCCCTGCTGTGAGGAAGCCCAAGCAACCATGTGGAGAGGAGAGATGACTGACCAGTCCCAGGTTTCAAATCATACAAGCCCAGAGCCTGCTAACACATGTCTGCAACTGCATGAGACACCCCAAGTGAGAGCTGACCCATGAATGCACAGAACAAAATTGTTTTAAGCCACTAAGTTTTGGGTTCTTTGTTCTATAGCAGCAGATAGCTGGGACAAGAGAGCAAGCTGGACTCTTGGGGACATAGACTCAGCCCATACCTTCCCTGGTCCTAAAGGTCTCAGGGAGCCTAGACCACCTCTGGAGCCCCTCAGGGGCCTAGGTTCCCATTCAGCAGTTCTAGGAGGGCTGCAGATGGAATCAGGTAACTCACCAGCCCAGCCCTGGAATCCATCCAATTTAACTGCCACGCTGCCCAATACATTTCAATTGCATTACATTTCTACAACTGGAAATAACCACTGCTCTTAAGAACTGGAAAAGGCCGCCTTTAAGCTTTTAATGTCTTATGCTTTGCAGCCAATTAAAGCAGATGCAGTCTGGATGCTACTCAAAAAGCAACCTATACCCAAACCTTTATCATTCCCATACATCAGCCTCTAAAAATATGCAAATGGACAGTCCCAGGTTCTAGGATCCTCCTGCAGGATTTCCTTTTCATGGTTTTGGTGCTAGAATCGACTATTTCTAAACAACTATTGTGAAGAATAAATAAAGACCACTATTCAATACTGTGACTAATGAAGGACCTGTCAGGTTTTTTATACATACTCTAAGATTTACCATTTTTAATACTTTTTAAAAAACAGCAGCTTTCTTTTGTGATCCAGGATTTTATCTGGCTTTCAACTCAGGAATCAAGCTCATTAGGCCAGATTGCACTGTCATTTTTGCAACCTTTCCAGTATATTTTTAAAAAGTGGATTATATATATGACTTCTTCAGAATGGAGAATCTTCCTCCAGAATTCTATTAACAGCTACAGATTTCCATTCTGATGGCCTCTGAGTCTTTATGCCTTTATTTTTTGGTGCCTGATTCCTGATGAGTTTCTGTCACCTTGTGGAGGCCCCAGATAGAGGTAGAATTTGGGGTGACAGATAATCACTGGATCCACCTACTGTTCTCCTTCCCTTTCCCCACATATGCTTAAAGTGAGAGGGTGATGTGTGACGTCAACAGTGTGTAAAATGTCTGACACTTCCTACAAAGACATGCATCATGTTTGAATTTTTATGTTTAGGCTCCTACATAAAATAATGTCATCGCCAAAGGCACACCAAGGAGAATCACATTTTGTAAGACCTGTCTTCTTGTACTTCAATCCATTCTTCTGTTAATGGTAACTGCACAATACTCACTGATTCATCTCTATATCAGAGATGTGCTTCCTTGTAACACTGATTTCATGCAGAATAGGTAATGAACTTGCATTTATCTCCTTGGATGAAACCATTTTTAAAACACTTCCTAATTCTAGCTTGGCAATGTAGCTGTCATAACCTGACTGTTTTGATAATAAAAAATAATGTATAATTCATGATTATTGAAGTGTTTCTTTTCCTTCCTTTTCTCAGAATATCACCAATCACAGTTAGCCTGTTCACTGACACATTCATTTGATATATATATAGATATATATGTATAAGTATACATATATTCATTAAGGCACTGTGACATAAGATATATATTTGGTCTGTGCCCCCACTTCCTGACACAGAATTTCCATAGGATCCAGCTATTCCACTTCTAGGCATATACCCAAAAGAACTGAAAGCAGAGATTCAAATGGCTATCCATACACAAATGCTCATAGCAGCATTACTGACAACAGCCAAAAGATGGAAACAACCCAAGTGTTCATCAACAGATGAATGGATAAACAAAATAAAGAATATCCATAGAGTGGAATAAATATTTGGCCATAAAAGGAATGAAGCACTGACACATGCTATACCGTAAATGACCATTGAAAACATTATGCTAAATGAAAGAAGCCAGGCACAAAAGATCAAAGGTACGATTCCATTTATACAGAGTATCTAGCCTAGGTGAATCCATGTAAATAGAGAACAGATTGGTGGTTGCCAAAGGCTTGAAGAGGAGGGGAAATGAGGAGTGACTACATAATGATGTGGGGTTTCCTTCTAGGGTAATGAAAGTGTTTTGGAACCTGACAGATATTTTTTGGCTGCTCAGAACAGGATACTGTTGATAGTGATGCTGCCAGCCATTCCTTACTTCGACTTAGATACATGACCATGGTAAAGACTTTGGATCTCTTCAACTTCTGTACTTGAAAACTAGGTTGATAATGATGATGTATTTTCACTCAAACAACCCCACAAACCCAAGCTTTGTGCACTGCTTGAACCTATGTTCTGTCTGAGTAGTATTTTCAAGAGACAAGTTAAAGATGATTCTCCACTCATTTTAAATTTCTAATACTTTTATGCCTTTATTATTATTTAAATTATCTAGCCAACAAAAATCTCTCCTAATAGTCTGCCCACTGATTTTTCTATTGAGTCATTTGAAAGTTCTTAGTTATTATTCTTGAAAGTAAGTATCCAACCAATTATTATTTTATTTTAGCAATAATAAATCTAAATGTATATTTACACTATTGATAGAATTTCAACATATAAAGAATTTAAGGAGGTTTTTTTTCCCCCCTTCAGCTACAACTAGAATGTTCACCTACATTCAAAAGTGAATATCCACATATTCACTTTTAACAGCAAATCCCAATGACAGGCCTAATTCAATCACTTACATTGATACTCTGATTAGAAACGAGGGTTACTTAGGTGATACCACAGTCACTGATCACATTCCAGTTCAAAGCGGTCAGAACTGATGTTGAAGTAGGCCTTCTGAAGGCTGAGACCAAAACCAAAGCCAAATGGCAGACTTGGGCCAAACAGAAGGATGAGGCTGGTGATGCCCCAACCCTAGTTCAAAGTCCAGCCACAGAGAGAAGGAAGAGCTGAGCATTCTGGGTAATTCTCAGGACAGGAAAGAGGCACCCTTTACCCTCAACTGACCCAAAGAAGAACTACCATTTGTCACCCCACTTCCCATGAAATTTCTTACTGACAGAGAAATGGGAAAAAAAAAACACAGAAAAAGGGAAGAAAGCGACAGGATGCTACCCTCCATAAACACTTCCTGTTGGTTGTGCTAACTTACAACTGCAAGAAGATGATGACATTCACAACAACACTTATCCCCATTCTTTAGATAAAAAGACAGGCTCCCAAAAAGCAAATAGCTTATCTAAGGATGCACAACTGGTAAATAATCTTATATATCCACACACATCCTGGCACACACAGTATCCACTCCTGAATACTGTTGATTTTCAGTAACATCAGACACACAATCTCCACAGGTCGACCTCAAAACTCCTCCATCATCTCTTGTATTTCTGGCTTTTCCCCCTACCCATCTTCTATTCTCTGTTGCCTATCAAAGGATGAGGTCTTCAAGGTCTTTTTACATCCTAGAGATCAAACGGCAAATGTGCTGTGATTTCAAGACACAATTACCAAAATAGGTCTAGTTCATCTGCAAGAATATCATACTCCCCAATTTCTCCACTTCTATAACCTGTAATTCACCCCACCCACTGAATGGGAGAAAATATTTGAAGATCATATATCATATAAAAAATTGTATCTAGCCCTAACCGGTTTGGCTCAGTGGATAGAGCGTCGGCCTGCAGACTGAATGGTTCCAGGTTCGATTCCGGCCAAGGGCATGTACCTTGGTTGCGGGAACACCCCCGGTAGGGGGTGTGCAGGAGGCAGCTGATCGATGTTTCTCTCTCATCGATGTTTTTAACTCTCTATCCCTCTCCCTTCCTCTCTGTAAAAAATCAATAAAATATATATTTTTAAAATATTGTATCTAAAACATATAAAGAATCTTTACAACTTAGAGACAACCTAATTAAAAATGTGCAAAGGAGCTGAACAGAAATTTCTACAAAGATATATAGAATGGCCAATATGCACATGAAAAGCCCAACATCATTAATCATCATGAATATGCAAACCAAATACATATATAATACATTTACATATATGCATACTTAATTGAGTGCAGGTAGATTATATTCCATGTTAATTTCTTTCAGGGCTACTAAAGGGTATTATAAAATATTTATTTTAAAAGGGGCATTGGGTATGCAGGTTTGAGACCCACTGATGCAGCAGATAGCACAGAGGATTATCTGTGATCAGCATATGGCCTTTTAGATTAGAGTCAGGGTTTTTTTCTGTTCTGTAACAGCTTCAGCCTCAAGGATTCCATGGGGAAAGCAAAAACAAAATTAGAAAATAATTTATCATTTTTTACTTTTGCAACCAACCTATTTTTCATTTAGAAGATGAGCTATTTCTAGAGGTATATGTAATTATACATTTGGACCACATGAATCTGTTAGTTATACAATGATGTATTTCACAAGATCTGTGCCAGGTAAGTGAGTCTTACATCTTTCAATGCCTGAACATTTAATGTAAACAATTTTTTCATTTCATCAAAGAATATTGCTTCATTCGACTGGCCTTTTATGGCTCAAGACCATTATGACAAACATCATTTTTACCATGCTATAACCAAATGACACCCTAAGGCACACCGATGTTGGCCACTGCTGGCCTCTCAACTAAATGGTCCCAGACTGAAGAGCTTTTTGGAGTTCTCAGCTCTGCTTTTTATAGGGACTTATTTCTCTTAATGGGCTATTATTGCTGTTCTTAATAGTGGTGTCCTCAGGCAGTGCCTCCCACCTCTTTCTAATTTGCTGCCTTCATACAAACAGTTAACACCCACATTACTGGTGACAGTATACCTTTCATCTCTTGGAACCTAACACCATAACCAAAGTATTTTCAATTCCAACTTTCAGAAGCGTACCAGCTCAAAAAAAAAAAGTACATTTATTACAAGGTCATGGGGTATCTTAAGGGCAAAGGTGAACAAAGTGGGCAGAACCAGGAAGTAGAAACTCAGCAAAAACCAAAGAGGCCATTTTCTTACTCTCACCTCAGTGTTCCTTTGCCCATCTGCATCATTCTTTGATCCTGCAGGCTCCCCTCCTTGGCTTCTCCACCAAGATGACTCTGCCACGGCCTTGGACAGGTAGCTCAGTTGGTTGGAGCATTGTCCTGATACACCAAGGTTCTGGGTTCAATTCCTGGTCAGGGCACATACAAGAATCAAACAATGAATGCATAAATAAGTGAAATACAAAACTGATGTACCTCTCTCCTTTCCTCTCTCTTTAAAATCAGTATTTTTTAAAAATAGATGACTCTGCCCAGCCGGTGTGGCTCAGCGGTTGAGCATCGAACTGTGAACCTGGAGGTCACAGGTTCGATTCCTGGTCAGGGCATATGCCAGGGTTGTGGGCTTGATTCCCAGTGTGGGGCTTGCAGGAGGCAGCCAATCAATGATTCTCTCTCATCATTGATGTTTCTATCTCTCTCTCCCTCTCCCTTCCTGTCTGAAATAAATAAACTCAATAAAAATATTTAAAAAAATAAAATAACAAAATAAAATAGATGACTCTGCCACACTCCTGAGGTTACTCAATTCA